CCTAAAGCTTAAACCATGGCAGTAAGCAGTAAGTTGGCCTAGTCTCTCGCCTAACCTTCGCTTCTTCAGTGGCCAAGTTTAGGCGTTCAACATCGGCCTACCACCTTTTTTTTCTCAAGGTTGAGCTTGTTCAATTGAAGCTAATACTATGCTGACCTTCCCTTGTTCAAGAGAAAGTGAGGACTTTCTTTTAGCTACCGGCCCAAACAAAAGAGATTAGCCTCTTGATCGATCGATTGATTGGATCGAAGTACGAAGGGGTTATTGAAGTCTAGATCAGCCCAAGACTAATGCCGAGCAACTAGCTGCTGCAGGATTGGACGTCTATCTATCTCACCATGCTCCCCTACTCCTATAAAGGCCGTTGGAAGGAATGCTCTGCTCATCTTTCTTACGACTCGTTACCGCAGCGCTCGTTCACCCCTTCTGCTTCTTCCATTCAAAAAAAAAAAGGTAGTTTTCCTTGGTAAATAGCGTCTTGAAGTGAAGCGAAGGCATTATTGAAGGAAAGAAATGATGGGTCGGTCAATTCATTAGGTAGGAGATGCATGGACCTGTCTTAACCGCAAGTGCATTCGCTATTCGATTCCATCCTAAATCCCACCAATTCCAAATATGTATCTCTTCTTTACTTTTAAGTGACAAGGGGGTGACAAAGGGTATACTTTCTTCTCTATGTCGCCGTCTCATCAATGAGCGTAGATTAATAGCCAAGCCTACCCTTTTGTGCATGTCAATTGTATCCCATTTTCCAGTATAGTTTTCTTTGATCACAGATCGACAGGTGATCCGTCCTTTTCCCCCTTTCTCATAAGGCTTGGTCTGACTCTGAGAAAAGAAATTCTGTGTTTAGGTCCCTACTAAGCAGAATTCGTAAACTATGCAAAGGCTCTTTAAGACTTTTTCAAAAGTTTTTAGTAAAAAAAGCAAAACCAATTCTCAACGCCCTTACGAGGTAGTGATAAGTTAAACTACTCGTGTTGGCATGGAAGTCAGCCCAGGTAAACTGATTCCATTCTGCTACTAGGGTTCCAAACCTTCCCCTGAGCTCTAGAATCTAAAATACCTTTTCAACTCAAGAAATGCTAAAGCTATTTAGAGTTGGTATTTCTAACTAAGTCGGAAGGAGGGCTTGGGCAAAGAGCAACTCTCAAGTACTTTACTTCAGTCCCAGTACTGAAAGACGTGACTTCAGGAGTGGATTTCGGAAGGAAAGACTTCGTTTACTTCCTGCAAATTGCTTATGTAAAAACTAGTAGAAAGAAAGGGGCGTTCCACCACTTGACTATAAGGAAAGGAATTTGAAAAAAAATAAGAAGTAAATTCGCATATAAAGAGATGGGTTTCCGGGCTTAGATTGAAATGGAATCGAATGATTACAAGATAAACAATGAGACAAAGAAGAGCACTTAGACAATTACACTTTGAGTACAGGGAAGTCTGTTGGTAGGAATTCCTCAGGGCTATTACGGTTTTTCACCGAGCGGGTAGGATCGAAGCGATTGCAGCGAAGAATTGATCTGAAATGAAGCACTTCATCTATAGGCATTGTAGAAAGGATAGAATATGCGCCTAATCAGTTCTTCTCGAATACTCCAGTATGATGGACTGGGGGGGTCCACCAGATAAAATGCAACACGATAGAAAAGTTCGCTCAGCCACATAAGATCCTGAATCAAAATCAACCATAACTACCATCTCGGTCCATTTTCATTCTCTTCCCTGCCCGGGAAGGGGGATCAAAGAAAGGTAGCTTGCTTCTCTCCTGGACGGATGGCGACTTATGTAGTGGTCGGCCTTCCTACCAGAATGCCTTCTTGGTCGAAGAGCCCCTTTTTTACTAGTAAGGACGCAGGAAGCAAAAAAACTTGCGCGAAGGACGTTTTCTTCTCTGCCCTCTCCTCTCCAAAGGCCAAGGGAGAGACTGCATCCCTTTCCTTCGGTAGCTCTTTTGGTTTCCCAAGGATAGCGGTAGCTGGGGCAAAGCCCGCTTTCTTCGCTCCGCGAATGAGAGAGAAAGTCAGAGGAAAAAACACGTTCTCTCTTTGCGAGATCCGAAAGTGGAGAACGCATAGCATTCTATGGGTACATAGGATCAAACGTAAAGCAGCGCTCTCTTGGCAGAGTTTTAGGCGGCAAGAGACTTTAGGGCTTGTTGGAGCTTCTGAGCGTAACGAATCGAAGCCGAAGACGGATCAAGGTAGCTTGCCTGCCAAGCCGATAGGCGAAGGGCTGAAGGATGGAACGCGCAAAGTAGATCGTGCACCTGTCGTGTGACCCGTTGGTCCTAAGCAATGTCTTGCGCGAAGCGACCCACTTAGAAAAAGCCCCCCTTTATGTTAGGGGAGCACTAAAATGCAACTTCGATCGGATGCGGGTATCAAATCCCGCCGCTGAGATGTCCAGCGGATTCCTGGGCCTTGACGAATGGCCGGCCACCTTTTACGTTAGAAGAGCAAAAGGCCCAGGGCATAGCAGGATGAACCAATGTGAATGAGTGTAAGCTTCGTTGCCCGAACACGATTGGTGCTGACCACACTAGGTGCTACCGTGGTAGCAAGAGAGGCCAGGCGGTGACAATTGAGAGGTTGTCACTGAGCATTCCTAGTCACACGGGAAAAGAGGTCAAATGGCAAGGCAAGGCCATACGCCCGTTTGGCTCCTCGCGGAGTATAGCTCACATCCAAACATCTGATTGGGGAACGGGGCAACGCCCATGAAGCTCCGGCGGAAAGGGAAGGCCTGCCAGGCCGTATGCCCATGGGTGCAGGATTCTTCGAAAAAGCGCGGGCTGACTCGGAGACCTGGGACCCTGGCTTAGTAATGAATGAAGGGAAGCTCTTCGAGCTTTCTCCGCCAGCGGCTTATGTAGTGGTCGGCCTTATAAAGCTCGCTAAGCCTCGCTTCCCTCTCCCCTTCACTTATTAAGTGGAAAATAGTCGTCGGCATTCTATAAGCGACTTGACCGAGTCTACGAAGCTTTGCTTTTCTTGTAGTCGGCCCGTAATGCCTCCCTTCATTTGCTTGCCTCCTTTCAGCTCAGAATGCCTAATGCCTATTATTTAGTGCTAGAAGCTAACCGCCATAAGCTCACCCTTCGGGTCTCGCTTCCAGCGCAGGAGGCCAAGCATTCTGCCAGACGTCCCGGCCTGGGAGCCCCGTTCGCCTTTGGTACTTCAGTAGATCTTCTAAAATAAAAAGCGCTACTTCAGCCTTAACTACAACTACATTACGCAAGCCCCGCCGATACCTACCTATAGAGTAAAATTCTAAAAAAAAAGTACCAGTGACGGCGACTTTCTAGGTTTATGGATTCAGTCAGCTAAACTCCATCAAACTCCTCAATCAATATCAACAAGATGTCGTGACCGCTTAGGCTTGGTTTACTTTGGTTTGAATGTAAACTAAAATAAGCGGCGTTTATTCAAACAAAGGGAGCCGAAGGTTTCCTTGTTTAGTAGTACGAAAGTAGTTCTACTATTAAGATGTTTAATATTAATAATAAATATATAGTGTTGTAGCTGTAGAACAGAATGACGTTCGCCCTTACTTTGACTTTCTGAGAAGGACTTAAGTAGCTAAGTTTCCAAAGGCGAACACCCCCCTGTCCTTTATAGTATAGTCGTAAAGGGCTTCTCAGAAAAGTAAGGAAGAAGGCATTCGAAAGGCCGACCACTACCACTATCTCATAGGCATTCTGGTGGTAAAACCGACGACTACACGGCTCTATACCAAGTCATGAGCGATAGCGAAGCCAAGCCGCCGTCTATAGGCGAAGGGACGAAAGCCCGACGAAGGCCTATGCTACAGTAAGCAAAAAAGTAGGTTGAGGTTATGAAGTCACTTAGCCGTATACTATACAAAGGGAAAGGCGTCGGTACGGAGTCACGTCAGCTGTGGATATAGACTAGGCTATAAGGAACGGAGTCTTAAACTATGGACCGAGACTACACTAAGGAACAAGGAAGCTTGACTGAGAAAAGAAGTCAAGGAACGAAGCAGCTTCTCTAATAGCCCCGTTGAATAGGCGGGCGAAGGCTTTTTGAAAAAGTATTTTTTTTCTTGTAAATGCATTTTTTTCTATTTCGAGAGAGGGGGCTTCAAGTTCTTAGGAAGAGCCGTACGAGACAGCTCACGTACGGTTCGGGAGCCGAGCCCCTGCGCAGGGGCTTAGGTCAACACTTATATAATAGCCAGTCATCAATTGGAGGCGGGCAAGATGGTGATGAATTGCGATTGGTCTAAACCTTCGACTAGCGACTTATTGCGGCCTGCCCAGAATGCCCATACAGACTAAGACCTTATTCACACAGCGAAGAAAGGCCGAGTGGAAGGGGGCAGTCAGCTGGCTGCTTCTTTGCCATGCGCTTTGCTTCGCTTTATTTTTTAGAAGAAAGAGACCAAATGAGAGTGAAAGGCAAGGGCAAGCGATAGAAAAGTCCCTCGCGCGAACTACTACTACTAGAAAATGGTGAGACCATTAGTGAAAGAAGGACCAAGGAGGATCCTATCAGGAAAAGTTATCGTGGTCTTGTTCTAGCAAAGGTCACCTTAGACTATGGGTATCTGTTCGCGATGACCTAACTGGTGTTGTGAATCAGTTTCACTCTCCTCCATCGAGTGAAGGGTGGTTCAGTCAACCGCCAACCCTGACTCCTCCACCAGATAATCTGGCCTGGAGCTCATTCCCAGTGCGCGAATCGAAGGGGATGGCCCAGCCCCGGGTTCGAAAGGAGAGAAACTAAAAAAGCTCCATGCATAGTCGAAGGGCATCTTCGGAGATACTGTGCTTCTGAGGATGGATTGAAAAGGTTTCCTTGTTTGAAAGATAAAAACAAGGAAGATTCTAATATTTTGCGCAATATTTTTCTATTACGGAATTGGACATTGAGACAAAAAGCGAAGCGGAAATCGCTTCGCTTTCTGCCTATTTGGGTCTATTTCGTAAAATACAAACTCTATTTCATATATATTTTGAAAAATATATAGTCAGACTAGAGACTAAAGTAGAGTAGGAGGAGTCAGTTTTCTTTGAAGATCGAGGAACGTAGTGTCGGACAATTATGCCATTCGGAAGAAGTCTTCTACAGAAGAAAAGCCTGTTACGAGTAAGTGGAGAGGAAAGATCTCCAGAGATTCTTATCTCATTCCATTCCAGTGGCTCAACCAGTAACCAATGGCGAAAACTAAAAAATCCATGGTTTCCCGGTAGAACCCTATTTCGCCCAAGTTGTTTCGGAACCGGAAAAAAGAAGCGGTTTTTCGCACAGCTTGCTCATAGTGCAGGTCCCACTTGTATATCGTATTTGGCCGAAGAAGCATCGGACAGGTTGGAGTTCTTACCTTCTTGGGACTCCATGGACCAAGATCTGCTTTTATTATATGGTCAATACGATCTACTTTAGTAGATATATGGATGTAGAAAAAGCAACTAATTTGGATGAAATAGAAACATCTCTTTTCCATTTCTATTTACCCAGTTCATATCTTTGTTTCGTGTGTTCCTGGGAGGAATTCGATCTCGGAATACCACCTAAATAACTACGGCCAGAGAGTCAAATAGGTCGGGAAGAAAGAGTCTGAGGTCGGGTTGGACGACATACATCTTGGTTGGTTCCACCACCACTAGAGATTGGACATATATAGAATCTTTCTTCTAAAAAAGGGATTCTTATATATATATTTTTAAAATAGCTGCAAGACAAAAACCGAAAGCCCTTCTTTTATTGTTGTTCCTCCCAGATACATGGCTTACATACCCGGCTCAACATTCTTGGAAAACAATCGAATCGAGGGTTCGGGAGCCTATAAGTGGAACGTTTGCTATGCTATAAGGACTGTGCGCCTACCCGGATTGGCTTCGCTATCGCTCCCGTGTAGGGGTCGGTCTATCCCAAAAAAGGGGTCCTCCTATCTGAAAGGGATTCCGAAGCGAGCGAGTTCCCTATTCCGTATCTCGGCCATCTTATCTGCAAGGGCGGCTTCCTCCGTTTCTGGTTTGCATGTCTTTCATTCTGAATTGCCTCCTTTGACTCGTGCATGCTTGCGTTTAGATAGGTTAGATACTTCTTATATTAGGAGAATTATTGTAAAGGAGTAGTAAGGGAGTGAAACCCCGATCTAATCTTACACGTGCGAGGACAGTCCTCTGAATAGAGTCCATTGCATCCCACAATAATCGACGGGCAGCCCTCGTACATTTAGCATAAACCGCTGAAAACTCGAAAGTCTGTCCACTCTGAGTGGGCAGAGCCTTATTACCTTATTAATAGGAGGGATGCAAGGAATTGATGCTACGAATGCCATAGCAAGTGAATCAGAATAAGCCCTAGCCCAGCTACTGATTGGAAAGTCTTATCGTCATCTGTATAAACATTTATCTACAGGTTTTTCACTTTTCATTCATTGAATGACTTGATTCCCAAAGGATGAAGGAAAACTTCTAGTGTACCCAGTTGCAGGTCATACACTATATCTTGCACACGAGATAGAAAAGTAAGAGTTCGGAGAGTTGTCTGACAACCTTCCCAGTTCCCGCTTCGGTTCCAAGAGAAAGGAAGGGGCTGATCCGATAGTGCGTGCTGGCCGGTTCGATACTATACTCCTTGCTTTCAGAGCTGGAAAGAGTGAGTGGAATAAACGAAAGGAGTTGAACGAAAAGATACGTATATCTTCGAGCTTGAAGTGAACGAACGGAATACTTGAAGTGAGTCTAACTAGTATAACGAGTAAGACAACGAGTACTAGAGCTCCCTACTCTCAGTGGACTACTTATAGGAGGATAGGGAAAAGCTGCGTGCAGTTCAAGAGAGATCGACCAAAATCAAAGGGGGGATAGAGCAAGGGCTCCACGCTCAAGGGACGGGCTATTCTACATAATACGGATAGGCGTATAGCCTTTTTCTTCTTACGATCCTATCGTTTCTGCTTCAGCGGAATATTCTGATTCGGCTTTAGCTGCTTCGTCTGTATCTTCACATTATTCAAATGATCCTGAAGCGGACCTTTCCTCTGTGTTTGTTGTAGCTCGCCCTTACTTAGTTCCTTCCCTGAGCTAACCTCCCCTACCACGTTTCTATATGCCATTAGGAGAAGTCAGTCTGTGCAATCCGCAATCATGAACCCGGCTCTGCACTAAAGAAAGGTGCGTCTGTATTAACTTTCATTCAGAACAAGCAACGGTGAGCTACCGCGGATGCCTGTGTTAACAAGCACCAAACGGTGTGAACAAACACCGGCCGGCTTCTTGCCGGTGTGCGTTAGTGAAGCTAATAGTTCGGATGCCAACGTTTTCTTGCTCCGTTTCCTTGGTACCCGAACCGGAGAACTATCCACAAGACTGATTCATGCTCCAAACTCGAGAAGAAGCTTTCGAAGGCGTGTGTACCATTACTTGTCCTTGTTATTCCAGTAGTGATTTTTGGCAAGATCAATATATAGTGATCAGTTATGATTGCTCAAACTACGGTACATAGTTTCAAGTTAGGCCTTACTTCAGTCTGGTCTCCTCTCCCAGGTCTCAGCTTCAGGCTCCCACCAAAAACCGTATGAAAATGGCAAGGCAAGCAAATGCACGAACGTATTGGAGGCTTTCTCTCATAAGAATCTTATTTTATCAGTATACGCCTGATCGGAGAGTTCAGTCACACCGATAGGTCCGCTACTTCAAAGGCATCGCCTTACTTAGATCACCTGGGATTGGATCTTCTTCGACCTCTAGCCATGACGCTCATCCCTTACCTTGGGATTCAGTAGGTTTCCTATGCTATGAATCAGATCTTTGGCTTTACCGTGTTACTATTCGGAGAATGGAGGTGATCTCTCTCTATCTTCAGTCAGTCATTTCTACCAGCTTCAACTAACTTCCTTTAGGAAGGAAAGAAGTCCCATTGATTGAGCTGTTGATGGAATAAGGGCTACTTTCAAACCTGAAAGAGGTCCAGGTCTTGGAATGGGCTAGGTGCAGCTATTGAATTTGTCCTAGTCGAAAGGGAAAGGCGATGACTATCAGTTTGACTCTTTTTCCAAAGAAACGAGTGGAATATAAGACAGCGAGTAAGGGAATGAGTTGTCCAAATAAGCTCTTAAGAAGGGAGTTTCACTCGACAATAAAGGTTTGTACTGAAACCATTCTCAGACGGAATCGACTGACTTCTAGTTGCATCGGATCTAGAGATCTGTTGCCAGTTCCGATAGAAGGAAATGGAGTAAGGTTTAGGCTTTACCCAATAGTTGTTGAACCCGAGGTTGGTAATAAACTGAATCTACTCAGTCTTCTAGCATAGCGGAGTGAGGTATATCGAAGAATGAACTTGCCTTCAACCACAAATGGGGTCCTTTAGGCAGCCGATTGCCCATTTGCTTCCACTGGCTTATGTCGTGAAAACTCATCAATGAAATAATGAAATGAAGAGAGGGGATTTTCCCATCCTATGAGCCCTGCGAGCTCATGAGTCGTCAGCCACTCAGAGGGATTTATCGCCGAAACGCAGCGACGAAGGGCTTACCCCGAGACCTAGCATCGTCAAGGTCAGGATTAGGGCACGAGTTCTAAAGTGAATCATAAGGGGTCGCATATATAAATCAGGCTTGTGCAAGCAAGGGATACTTTACTTCAAGAGAATAGTGTGCCTCACTTTAGCTAGGCTGAGAATACGATTTCCGACATTAACTTCAAAAGAAAGAAGGAGAAGACGATCTGCGGCTGCAAGTGTGTATGAAATAGCGCGTATATAGGAGTTGTTTGAATGGGTTGTGTCAGCCTTTTCCATGTACTGCAATTGGTCATATCACAAAAGGCAAGCAAGGCCATTTATCTTATCGTTGAATGCACAAATCCCCTATTCGCCCAAGGAATTCTTACCGAAGGGTAAATGTTAACTACTTGAATAAGAAGACCGGAGTCTACCTTCACATTAGGAGTTCCCTCATTTCAGATTATGTAAAGTACCCAAGGACGTAAGCCTTTCGGCTGGTTTAAGATAATGAGAAAGAAATGAAACCCCATTTCAGGTTGATTCGATTCCCCCGCTTTCCCAGGAAATGAGTTGTGTAGCGGTTACCTTAGGGTTAGGGAGGGAATAGCCTTTCAATCTACTAGTAGCAATTCCATAGCTACCTGAAAATACACTTTCTTTTTTTCTTAAGCATCCCGCCTATTCCTTAATGTTAGCTCAGACACTAGGCAATAGAACGAAGTTAGTTCCTAATTCCCATAGTTTCTGCAGTGCTTCTTCTACCCATCTCGATCAAAAGCCCCTTCTTTCCTCATTCGAGGGACATTTTTCTTTAGAATTTCTTAATGGAAAGAGGAAATCCGTTGTTCGGAAGAGAATACAGAGAATCGCGAGGAGCTAGAAGAAGACTGTTGCTATCCGGCTATCTCGAAATTCAATGTATGAATAAAGGGGCTTTTAAGCGCTTCCCTCATCTTAGAGTTGCGTATTCAATTCGCATAAAAGAAGTGAGCAGGATTTGCTGCCGTTTAGAAGCACAACATGATGCATATACGCTCTTAGTACAAACACGTGCAATACTTTTGCCACGAAGAGCTTCTTGCTCTCTAGGCTTGAAGGCGGCAATCTAGTTTCTATTGAAACAAAACGAAGGAACTTTCCGGAGTGAAGATTTAGATTTAAGTCTAAGGCAGCGAGTGAGCCGAGGAGTGGTTGAGTGAAATCAGTAGCTGCCTTTTCGGAATAGGAATGGCCGATGTTCTTGCTCTTCTTCAGTCTTCTTAGGATGAAGCTTTCACTGGAATTTCCTACTCTAAGTTCAGTGACCTGGCACAATCTAATTATTAATTAATAGAACCCAGAATAGGCTCAAGGCCATCTCTTCCAACATTTTCTTACTTCTATCCCTTTGAATAGCAAAGTTGCCCGCGTTTCGTAAGGCCAAGAGTTCTGTCATTCCTCTCTATCAACTCGGAGTCTAAGGCAAGGAACTTTCAATTCCATTTTCTTTTCTTTTCATAGGCTCTTTTATTGAGACCAAATCATTTCTTCTTTCAAAAGAGTCCCCCCCCCTCCTGCTATTACTACTAAAAGACACTAGCCGCAATAAGAGATGAAATAAGACCGAAGTCGTTCAAAGCGAAAGATGTTTTGATCACAGACAGGTTCTAAAAGAAGAGAAAAGAGAATAGGGGCAAGGGCGGCAACACCAGAGAAGGAGCTAAGACCGCTTAGGCCTTTTACTACTAATGCCCCACACTAAAAGAGAGAAATCTATGTAACTTTGGATCTTAGCAGCAGTTTCCAAAAAGACTAGTAGCCCTTATTCCTTGCATCAACAGGCAATCCCGCATAAAAGAAAGGCTACTGACTTGGCTGATTCAACAAACAAGGGAAAAGGGCATCCATTCAAACTGCTCTCATTCCTATGTTGACACCAAGAAAAAGAAACCCTGGAGCCTTCCTCTCTATCCATTCCTTTTTCATAATCATAAAGGATGGAAATTCTTAACTTACTAAACCAACAACAGCGGAGTAAGCTCCCATATCCGTGAAGGACTACTTTCCAGCTGAGGAAAACTTCTCGTTATTGCTTTTGCTATTAAAGAGTAAGATGTTGATTCTATAACAGCTCTGATTCCTTCACCGAGAACAAGAAGGAAGTCTTATAGAACCAAGCGCTAAAGAAGGGGGTGGGATCTCTCCTAAAAGAAAGAATTGACCTCGAACCTGTCCTACTTATTCTCCCTTTCCCGTTCCTGACCCTCACCCTCAAGTCACGACCTAATGTAAGTTCTTTCAGTCATTTTCGAGCTAGCATAGCTACTGATATGGAATAGCCCTTCTCTAGCTTGGAGCTTGGAAAAGCGGAGTCCGATCTACAATACGCCATAACCATCTACCCCGTCCCGAGCCTCGTTTGCTAAGCGGGCTCATAATCCAAGCCTCTTGGTCTGAGGAAGGGGAATCCCATCGTGCTGGCTTGGCATGGAAGGAGGGCAGCCCAAAAAGTCTTTTTCGCAGCTTGGTCAGCGTAAGCTCAATGCTTATGGCTTTACCCAACATTGTTACTCTGCTTACTATGTCTAAAATGGGACCGCGAAGACAACCCATCACTGAAACTTTCTTTGCTCTCGCTCGGCTCACTCCCACCTGTCTTCTTCCCACTACAGTGAAAGATCTTTCACATCATCATATGAGGAACCTCACTAGCCTTCTCGGCCAGTTAGTCTAACCACAGGGATCCCTTCTTGCTTATCCACCCACCGTAAACGATTACTAACGAACTTGGAATACGAATGAGATAAAAAAGGCCATCATTGGGGCAAACGATGCAATAGCTTCGGTTAGAGCAAAGCCCAAAATGGCATAACCAATTAATTGTTTTGCCAATGATGGATTTCGCACAACCGAATGAATCGAGGGTTCGAAGGAGAGTTCTATGATCTTGGAAGTCAATCAAATCTCTCTTTTGGTCAAAATCGGTATGGGTTGTGAATCGAATCTGTATGTCCTCTAACCAAATTAGCGCATATTTCTTTTTCTTTGTTGAATAGTGGAGCTCCACTCCAGTGAAGCAATACTGAATCCGGAGAGTTCGATCCATGTACTTTGTTCTGTACACTACAGATTTGACTACTTGCAAACCTCTAACCAAGGCTTGCTTCCTAGGATCTAGTCTAGATAATCTATCTATGATCTTTCCCCTCAAGCTAGTTAGGGAACTACCTTCGCTCTGCACCTTATCCTTCGATCCAAGCCAAGAGGCAAAAGGCAAGCTCACTTAGAGGCTGCGGTCATTCTTGATTAATGTAGCTTCGTCCTCCTTATCAGAATTGGTCTCGTCAGATGCATGGCCGATGAGGGAGGCTCTAGAAGGAAAATAAGCGGATGGAGACTCTGAGGGTTAGGGGATAGGTTTGATCGAGAATTTCATTACCTAAGTATGCCACTATAGCCACTAAAAGGGTCATATCTTGTTGAATAGGAAGTGAAAGGAGCGAGACCTTGCAGAGTAGGTACGGAAGGGAAGGCCTCTTCAGAGGTAGTTAAAACCCTTTATTTCAGGGAGGCAAGATAGGATCTTTCTTTTAGGCTAGGACCACATACCCTAATTGAGACCCGGAGGGAGGTTGGATCTACTCTAAAGTAGAGTAGTTGTACTTGCCTTTTTCTTAGAGTGGATTGAGGAAGAAGTGAAACTCAGATGAGACGTAGTCTTGCTGCATCACCTGAAGAAGAAGGGGCTAACCTATCCAATAAATAAGCTGGATCCTCTGGAGTTAGATGGCTAGGATAGCTACTTACCTTACTGGTGTCCGAAGAAGTCTCTCGGTACATATATCATATGAGATGTGAAAGCGATTTCCGACTTAAAGACTACTAGTTGAAGTAGAGCCAACTCTAACATTCGACCAGAAGGTCAGTGCTGGGAAAGCAAAGAATGGAATGTTTGTTCTAAAGAAGAAGGTTGCTTGATTATTCTTTTCAGGAGAAAACCATAAGGACTCTGTAGATTGCAAGAATGCATGTTCTGATGCTTGCAGGGCTCATTTACTTCCAACAATCCAACAAAGTGAGTTTCACAAAGGGAGGTTAGCGAGATCCCAACTCTGAGGAAAGAAAAGAAGCTCGACCATGAAAAGGCAAGTCGGGTTTCACCACATATGTG